GGTTTACCTCCAGCCTCCGTGTCTCCAGCAGCTCAGCCAGCTTTTGCACAGGACTTTGTCGTGCCGCCATCTATATCTGCCCTGTGCCAGTGCTGCCCTGCAGCTGCAAAGGATGTGCTTGAGGCCTGGGTTTGGGGAGCTGCAGAGGTAGCAGGGTTCTTCTGAGCCATACCAGGCTGGGCAGTGTGTCTTAGTGGCCCTGATGAGGAAGCTCAGCCTTGCCTGGGCTGAGCTCCACATCTCCACCCAGGTAATGGTCCTGCTGGTCACTGCTTCCCAGGTGGACCATTTGCCTCGCTGTTGTTGGCTCACTGCTGTAACTTTGTAGTGCTTCTCATCCATTCTGGTCACCTCGGAGATGATGAGATCTTTCCTCTCCTTCTTATTGGCTTTAGACCATCTTAGCGCTGGTGCTCCCCATCCTAGTCCAGATCTGCCAGGCTGCATAAAGCCCACGATCTCCTGGTGTTTCTGCCTCTCTGTGGCCATATCTACTGCTTGTGCTACATTCCACTTTCGTCCGGCCCGGACTTGTACGTCTGCATTTTGGACAGACGGGTCTGGCGAGTCTCTTAGCTCCAATAGGAGTCTCACCTTCTCCTTCTTGTAGCCCAGGCTGATTGACTGAAGTGGGAGCTGTTGCATATTTTTGCCAAAGAGTGCTGCATTGTAGAGGCAGCGGGGGAGAGGCAGCGGGGAGAGGCAGTGGGGGAGAGGCAGCGGGGAGAGGCAGCGGGGGAGGCCGAGCCATTTCCTGATGTAATTGTTGGCCTTTGCTTCCAGTTTCAGGACTGTTGTCATGGTGATCTCGCACAGCTTCAGCGGCCACATTATGAGTTGGTACAGTACAAGGTGACCTGGTAACACCAAACCTTGAATTTTCCGGGCAGGGAGCACTGATTGATCTTGTGAAGGCCGTCCAGGAGTTGGGTTGTAACAGCTAGGGCCATATGCTTGTCGGAAAGATCAGCCGTATATAGCCATCCGAGGCTTCGCACTGGTTCTTCCACTACCCGAGGAATCCTTTCGCCATCCACGGTGAAACAGATATTGTCATTCCTCACCCCCTTCCGGATTGAGAGGCTACGGGACTTTGTGGGCTTGATTTTCATGCGGGCCCATGCTAGCACTTCCTCCAGCCTTTTTAGGAGTCTTGCTGTGCACGCTGCTGTTTGGAGGAGCTTGGTGACATCATCAATGTAACTCCGTATGGGCGGGAGTCTTTGGCCTGTTTGGGACTTTGCCCCTCCAACCATTTGTCTCCCACCTATCAGGATGATCTCGAATGCAAACGTAAAGAGGATGGGAGAGATGGATCATCCCATTGCTATTCCCTTCTCCAGCTGGTGCCAGGCAGTTGTGATGTCCCAGGTTGTGTAGCAAACATATAGGCTATTGAAGTAGTTTGCTATCAGCTTCTGGATGCTTGATGGTACATAGAAAAACTGCAGGGCGAACGTGATGAGCTGGTGGGGAACTGAGCCGAAGACGTTTTCGAGGTCTTACCAGACAACATGCAGGTCTGACTTGCTGTGCCTGACTCTCAGGATTTGTTCCCAGATCATCGTAGCGTGTTCCACGCAGCCAGGGAGCCCAAGGACGCCTGCCTTCTGGCAACCAGTATGGATGTCATTGTTGACCAGGAGGAAGTTGGTCAGGCGTTTAGCCAGGATTAATCTAATATATGTTTAAAAACTCAGTTTAAAATTTCCCTTCCGCAGTTTTTGCATGACCACTGCATGCGTTCTCTGTGACAATCATAATCATTTTCATTCTTGTTGCTCCGTACAAATTTGTGAAAAATTTAGGTTGAACTTAATTTTTGATATATAAATACACCAATTTCTTACAACAAAATAATAAAATAATAGCGTGCTGTCCTAGTATATTATACAAAACATTTTATCCCATGTTCCTGCTATCTTCTTGTATCTGTTCTGATAATCTGTTCTTCAAATTGCAGTTTAAGATTTGGGTCTTTCATTTGTCCATCCATCCATCCATCCATTGTCCAACCTGCTTATTCTACTGGGTCGTGGGGGGTCTGGAGCCTATCTCGGAAGCAATGGGCACAAGGTGGGGAACAACCCTGGATAGGGGGCCAACCCATCGCTGGGCACACTCGCACACATATGGGCAATTTAGCAGCGCCAAATAGTCTCAGCATGTCTTTGGACTGTGGGGGGAAACCGGAGTACCCAGAGGAAACCCCACGACGACATGGGGAGAACATGCAAACTCCACACACATGTGACCCAGGCGGAGACTTGAACTCAGGTCCCAGAGGTGCGAGGCAACAGTGCTAACCACTGCAGCATCATACCGCCCCTTCATTTGTCCACAAATCCATTATTATTGCTTTTATTTTTTGTTTTATTTAGTTTATCATTGTTTTCTGTTTTCGCCACTTTTTCAAGAGGCAGTTGTGTTGTGTTTCAGCAGCAGGCTACTTGCATAACCATAACCAAAGACAGCATTTCAAGTCCCACCCCAAAGTATCAAAGTACCAAAAAAGTTTCCCAGCTGGTTTGGCACTTTCAGTGCTGGAACCTTTGGTTCCTCCAAACGTTCACATAGAGCTGATTGAACTCCTGTGCAGTGACTCTCTCAAGGCAAAGTATGAGCCTGTGGGTGCTGCTCCGTTCCCACATTTCATCCCGAGACTTTGCCTTGTCTCTCCGCCTATAAGCTGCTCAGACGGCCTGCACATGTGGCAGCACATGGTGAAGTGATTTGAGGTGTGATGAAGATGAACAAAACGTCACACAGGAATCATCTCTGTCAGTATGTTTAGTGTGTTCCTGTGTTAGTGCCTGGTGTGAAATGTGTAGCACTGGTACAACTGACAGGGAAGAGAACAAACATAAGAGCATTATGGTAAATGAACTGCATTTATATAGCGCTTTTCTACTCCTACGAGTACTCAAAGTGCTTTACAATACATGCCTCACATTTACCATCCACACTCACATTCACACGCTGGGGGCAGAGGCTGCCATGCAAGGTGCCAACCTGCACACCGGGAGCAATTGGGGGTTCAGTCTCTTGCTCAAGGACACTTTGATGGGGTCAGGAGGAACCAGGGCTCAAACCGGCAACCCTCGAGTTGCTGAACGATAGTACTACCTCCTGTGCCACCATCTTCCCTTATGTTACAGGGGTGGCTGAAAAGCTCAGGAGGATTTTCACAGCATCCCTGTACATTTCAAACACATTGTACTCAGACACTCACACTGTAAGAGGACGGCTGTTTCTTTTTGTGTGTTGTTCTTATTTATTATTTATTACTTTAACTTAAACTGCTAAACAGAGAGCTGCTGAACTATTATTTCAGTGTTTCTGTAATAGTGACAATAAAGGTCTGTCTGCCTGTCTGAACTTAATTTTTGATGTAAGAAATACTGGTGTATTTATATAATAAAATAATACCGTGCTGATGATAAACCGATAAACTGAGTTTATCATTTGCTCAGTTTAGTTGTCTGTCCAGTATAGTTGTTTATGTATGACAATTACACATGGTGTTGGCATAACTGTGTAGTGAATTTAGCAGCCATAACTGTGTAGTTAATTGTACATCCATTACTGTGTAGTTAATTTTACATACATAACTGTTGTTGGCTGCATTAGTTGATATTAGTTGTGCCAATTTGATTTTATTTGTCGATCCAAACGTACAGCATTTCTTTCTAATTTAGATAGAGTTTTTAAATGAATGGAGGAAATATTTTTACAGTGCATCAACAATTGAATCATGGACAGAAAATAAACACTTCTGTATTTTTTAAGGTCTATTGTTTGTAAAAATGTTTATATTGAGCTTCCTGTCAGAGACCATCATAAATTCTCAGGATATTTACTCAGTTTGCTACCTGAGGAAGGTGAATGAAATGTTGTTAGTTATCTCTGCTAATTAAGCTGAAATCTGTTTGAAATCAAGTTAAACTCTCTAAAAGCCATTGAATACAAAGGGCCACAAATCAAACTGTCTGTCCTGCCTGCTGTGTCTCTGTGTGGAGGAGCAGGATGTCACTGGTTCTCTTCTGCTGTTATGAGAAGATTGATGTTATGAAGCCGCCCTAATGAATAAAGCTTAAAAAGGCATCTTACACCTTTACACATTAAAATACACCACTAGGTTATTCTGTGTCGGCAGCAGGAGCACTTTTAATGGGACCATCACAGACTTTCTGTTACACTTGTGTAGATGATTTGAGATCTTTATATTTCTGCCTTATTCACAGAGACCAAATGGAAGGATGCAGTTCAGATCTACAGGAGAAACCGGGTTTATCTTCCAAATTGAAGGTTTGTATTTATTGCTGATATATATTTTCTGAAGATTTGTTTGAATTGGCTTATATTTTATACAGCTGTACAGTAAGAAACTAATCATGTTAA